TCACAATGGAGACAGCCCTCTTCTTTCAGGGAGAGCTGCTCAGGTGGCCCTCCACATCCCACCTGAGACGGCACTCCCACTGTGAATTCCCCCTTGGGAAGGTCTCCTGTGTGCCTGCCACTGATGTCCATTGAGTACCCATGAGGGGCGATACCCATACCAGGCTTTGGGGTGCCCTGCCCTGCTCCAAAACAGCATAAGGAGTCACAAGGTGGTAACCACCTCACCCTGGCATCTAATGTTGGGCATCTGACCAGACTTTGGGGATAGGGTCGGTGCTTGGGTACTTTGGCAGAAAGATGAGCCAGGCAGGAGTAGAGGAGTATACCTTTCTGGCCCGAGGTGCCAGGGCCCAGAGGTAAGGGAAGGCAAGTGCCCAAGGCCCGGGGCAGGGCTGGGTGTGAGTGCAAAGGGTCTCTGGCCTGACTGTCTCTGTGGGAAGCCAAGGATGCATTCCATGACCGAGTTCCAAATGGCAGGCAAGTAGCTTTTTAGCCGGCCACCTGTCCTGCCAAAATTACCATACAGGAACCAACTGTGAAGAGTAACTCTAGAGCGGCAGAGGGCCCAGCAGTGACGGCCAGGGCAGCTGTCCCTGAAGCCAGAGCTACAACACGCCTGGGTGCCTTGGAGCGGAGGACACAGAAGCCCGGAGGCAGCGGCTGAACTTCTGCAGAAGGGCAGGGGCGAGGCCAGGGAGAGGCTTGAGGACTGACAATGTCCTGAGAAGGCAGAAGCTGCAGGTCACTTGTGGGCCTCCTGTCTTGTTTGGAAGTCTGGGGCAATGGTGGTGGGGGTGGGTGGGCCCAGGGTAGAGCTCAGAGGACAGGCAGAGGCAGAGAAATGCATAAACCCCAACATGGCTTCTGGGGGCTCTCCAGCCAACGCTAGAGCCAGGACCAAGGGAGACGGAGCGCGATCCCGCTGGAAATGCAGCACAGGCCCTGGGGGTGCAGGCTGTGAGAGCCAAGACAGCCGGAGGGGATGTCCAGAGGGAGGGGCTGGGGGCCACGAGAGCCGGTCACCGGATGGGCATCTGGGGACACAGGAGAAAGTGGCTTTGTCCTGCAGCCGGTAGGCCAGGCCAGCCCTCCCCGCGGGGCCGCAGTGAGGACAGAGAGGCCTCTGTGAGGGGCGCCCAGCTGGCTGGAGCCCGGGATCCTCTGGGACCCGACTCGGTGGGGGCGGGGGAGAAAAGCACCTCAGCTGGTGCCTGTGGCCTGCAGACCCTCAGGGAGAGGACCCCAGGGAGCTGGGAGGAAAAGGTGGCACTTAGGGACTGCATCCTCCCACCGCCACCCACGAGGCCACACGGGGACAAGCTTCCAGCAGGGCGCCAAGCCGCACCTCCGTGAGACCAGGACCCAAGCACGGCTGGAAGAAAGGATGGAGCGCGCGGAGGTGGAAGGAGGGTCAGGTAGTCGCGGCGGGACCAGGTTGTGGCAGGGCCCCGCCCCACCAGGCCCCGCCCCAGCCAGGCGGTAGGAGCCGGTCCGCGTGGGGCCCGGGCAGGAAAAATCAAACCCGGGCGGCGGCCGCCCAGCCAATCCGGGAGCAGAAGAGCGCGCTTCGGCCAATGGTTGCCGCGCATGCTAATAAGCGCCGCCGCGCCGAGGAGGGCTCCATTGAAAAGTAGCAGCTTTTGTCGGGCCGCCGCTGGCCGGGCCTGCTCCGCAGCCGGCCGCGCGGGCCGCCGACCCGGGCTCCCATGGCTGGGCCTGCTACGGCCGAGCGGGGCCGCGGGCCTCCCGCCGCGCTCACGCCTGGCACCGAGGGGCTGCCGCGCGCCTTCCTGCAGAGCCTGCGCACGCTGTTCGACATTCTGGACGACCGGCGGCGCGGCTACGTGCACGTGCGCGAGATAGAGTCCCGCTGGCAGGGTGCGGACGCGCGCGAGCTGCCCCGCGGCGTGCTCGAGGGCCTGCGCCGCGCCGCCCCGGCCAGCGGCTATCTTACCTTCGAGCGCTTCGTGGCGGGGCTGCGCACCTCGCTGCCTGGCACCGAAGGCGGCCCGCGGGACCCGGCGCGCGCCCCCACCCGGCCAGGGGACCCTCGCTTGGTGCTGGAGAGGAAGCCCCTGCCCCCGGGCTCGCGGCCCAGCGGCCCCGCGGAGGCGACGCCCTGCCCCACCGGCGCTGCGCGGCCCCCGAGCGCGGACACGGGTGAGTGAGGGCTGCCTCGCCCGTGGGGGGACAGCAGGGTCAGTCTCGCCCACAGGGGAGGGGCACAGTGGTTGCAGTCCCCGGAGAAGAAAGGAGCTTCGGCCGGTCCACATGTACTCGGAGCCTCTAAGAGGCCGCTAGCTCCTGTGAGCAGGGTAGCTCCAGACCCCCACCAGGAATCTACCCCGTGCTGAGGCCCAGAGGGCACCCGGACACTGCCCCGTGTTGAGGCAGGACACCCCACCACCTGGGACACTGCCCTTTGGCCTCATCTCTGACTGCTCAGGCAGCCACACATCCCTTGAGAAGCCAGAGTGCCACTGTGGGCCACAGTGGCCCTGAGGGCCAGCAGATAAAAGCTGTGGGAGGTGACCTAGGGAGACACCTGGTCGCTGGGCCAGGGCCAGAAAGAAGCTGTGTATGTGGAGGCTGGCCTACACCCTGTGCAGGGCTGGGCTGTAGCAGATGCCACCCAGGGACACAGACCGTGTTCTCTGGGGACTCGCTGCAGGCTCTTCTTGCTTCGGTGCAGTCGGCAGGAACTGGAGACTGCTGAAGGGCCCCTGTCTGCCCCACCCCTGCCCGGGGAACAGGAGCTGCATTATGGCTGGGGGTGGGCACTGGGTTCCCAGAGGAGGTTGAGGCCGCCCCAGGCCCGCAGCCCATTCAGCCCTTCCAGGTGCAGCCTTTCCACCAGGCAGCTGCCAGTCCCTCTGCTGCCACCCACCGCTCTGCTGGCCTGACCAGGCCTCTCTCCAGCCCTTTCATCACTGGCACTTGCAGCTGCAGGGGCCCTGCTCTCCCCCAGGAACGGATGCAGCAGCTCTGCTCCCCACTGGGTTCCCTCTGCACCTGCCAGCCCAGCCTCCCTGTTGCTAGGGTAGGGTAGGCTTCTGTGTGTAGCTGGTCCCAAGTCTGGGGTCCTGGTCATCCATGAGCCTGGCTGCTTGAGGTCAGCTGCACGCCCTGTGCCCTACACCACACCCCGACCAGCCCACTCCTGGGCGGCATTCACACAAGGCCCCCTTAGGCCACAGGCCAGGCTCTGGCTGCACCTTTCCCAGGCAAACTCAGCCCAGACAAGGGCTGTCTTGCTTGATTGACAGGTGCCATTTGGGGTGCCACATCAGAAGCCCCACGACCACCCTTCCCAGCAAAGCCCTCCAAGATGAACACCTCTCCCCAGGCCCAGGCTTCCTCCTGTGGACCAGATCACCTTCCAGTGCATTTGCTTGCCACTCCCTGCACAGTGCCATGACCCTGCGCCTCCCCCTGCATCTCTACTGGTCACGCAGCACAGCAGGCTGGGACAGGAAGGTGCTTGGCCCACTTGGAGGCTGAACCTCTCTCTCACTCCTTTGAATCCAGCCCTTGTGGCACCCCTCCTCCGGGCCAGGCCCTGGGGTGTAGATTCAAGCTGAGCTTGGGCAGGGGTAGAGCTGGGAGGCTGAGGAAGGCAGCCGTAGTCCACATGTGCACCCCCTTCTGTAGATGGAGGCTCTCGCTCCATAACTCTACACCACCCTCATGCTGCCACCATTCCCAGCCACCCGCACTACCCTGCACCAGCTCCTGAGTACACACAGCCTCTCACACCTCACCCTTTACCCAGCAGCCTCTGAGTCCCCAAGATGTGGACATTCGAGGTGTGGAGGAGCTCAGTGCTCACCAAGGCATGGAGAGGGGGAAGGACACAGGCAGGCCACCCTAGGGCGGGGCTGGCTCAGACTGCAGCTCATGTAGCACTGGTCCCCCGAGCTGGACAGCAGCAGGGATACTTGGGGGATCTGGGGTGGGCTGGGAAACTGAGCGGGAGTGGGTCCAGAGGAAAGCCAGGACCTTGCCTGTCCACTACAGGTGCTGTGGCCTGCAGGGCCCCTGAGGTGGATGTGGGGGATGCCCGGCGGGCCCCACGGGCCCGAGGGGAGCGTCGGAGGCACACAATCACCAATGGAGTGGACTGCGGCCTGGTGAGAGAGGGGCGGTGCTCTGCGTGTGGTGTGGTGACTGGAGGCCAGGGGATTGGGGATCCTGACGGGAATACTGGTCAGCTCTAGAGACCTTGGTCCCCTGAAGATCTAGCCAAGGCCAGGCAGAGAGAGGCCATGAGGCCCTGACCTTGGCCAGTGCACCCCGCAACAAGGGATGCGGACTTAACGGTTGGCTCACTTTTCCCCCCGGGGAGCTTGAGTAAGGGCTGTGTGGCTGCTGTGCTGTGGGCCACTCGCGCTCACTAGTGTATGTGTGCCACACCTGCGGACCGCAGCTAAAGCAGGTGAAGGAGCTGGAGCAGGAGCAGGACGTGCTGCTGCAGGGCCTGGAGATGATGGCGCGGGGCCGCGACTGGTACCAGCAGCAGCTGCAGCGAGTGCAAGAACGCCAGCGCCGCCTGGGCCACAGCACCGCGGGCGCCGTGAGTGCTGGCGCTGGGGCTCCCGGGGCCCCCAGGCTCTGGGCACCGTCCACAGCCCTGTACTCCCTGGCTTTTCTGCAGGAATTTGGGGCTGCTGGGAGCCCCCGCCCACTGGGCTGCCTGCTCCCCAAGGTGCAGGAGGTGGCGCGGTGCCTGGGGGAGTTGCTGGCTGCCGCCTGTGCAGGCACGGTGAGTGCTCCCGCCTCCTGGGGCCCTTGTCCCCAAGACCACACCCCAGAGAGGCCTGGATGACACCGCCCCTACCCGCAGGGCACCAGCCCAGCCCCTGCCTCGCCCTCAGCCCCCAGCTGGCAGCAGCAGACCATCCTCATGCTGAAGGAGCAGAACCGGCTCCTCACCCAGGTGAGATGCGGGCAGGGGCCCTGGGGCCTGGCTCCAGCAAGCCCTGACCGCCCGCCCGCCCACCCACCCAGGAGGTGACCGACAAGAGCGAGCGAATCACACAGCTGGAGCAGGAGAAGACGGCGCTCATCAAGCAGCTGTTCGAGGCCCGGGCACTCAGCCAGCAGGAGGCAGGGCCCCTGGACTCCACCTTCATCTAGCCGGGCCAGCTGGGGACCCGAGGGAGCCCCACTTCCTCTCAGAGCCTGGCTTCCTACCCGGCCTGGATAGTCGGTTCTGGCCCCAGGCTCTGACCTGGATGGGGTGACAGCCGAAGCTGCTCCAGCCGTTGTTGGTGGGTAGGGGGGACCCTGCTCTGCCTCCCAGATCTCAGGCATCCCTGGGGAGAGAGGGCATGTCAACTGCTCTCCTGGCCCCTCCTGCCCCGACCCTGCGATCCTTCCCAGGTCTCTAGGAAAAGCGGGCGCTCCAGGCTGTGCTTCCAATAATGGCCAGCAGAGGGCAACAAGGGAACACCGGCCCCGACCCGCATGCGGCCGCTGCGTGAGGGGCAGGGTGAACTCGGACCTGGACACCCACGCCTGGGGATTCAGGGACAGATCCCTTTCCTCAACCAAGGCCCTTAAGACACGGTGTCTGTGGCTCAGATAGGAGCAGACTTGGGTGTCGGTTGCCCTCTAGGAGGGCACTGCTTGGCCTGTTGGGGGACTCAGGATGGGGCCAAGGCTGGGAAGGGGTCTTGGCAGGCGCTGGGGCAGGCTTGAGTGGCTTGCCTGCCTCCTGCAGACCCCAGGCCCTAGAGGGGTTTTTGTTGTTGTTGTTTTTAACAGTACCGAAGATTGAACCCAAGGGTTTGGCACTAAGCTGCATTCCCAGCCCTTTTTCATTTGGAGATGGGGGTCTTCCACATTGTCCAGGCTTGGTTGGAACTTGCAGCCTTTTTCGGCTTCCCTCCCGGGATGACGGGTGTGTACCACCATGCCTGACTTGGCTTTATTTTATTTTATTTGAACCAGAGTTTTGGCCGGTAGCCCAAGCTGCCCTCTGAGCTGGTCATGTAGCTCAGGCAGTCTTTCTGACTGGCCTCCTGACTGCTGGGTTACGGCACGGGCCACCATGCCCAGGCCCCCGACAGGCCCCCAAGGTGAGGTGGGGTGGGGCCTGGGGAGCTGCTCCCTCCCAGAGTGGGTGAGGTAAAAGAGCAGAGGGGTGCAAGCCGGGGAGCACCTGGCAGGCGGCGGCGGGGCGGGGGGAAGTACCCCCAGGTGACTCAGCCTGCTGGGTTGAGGCTCAGTCTCACGAGATCCCCACGGGCCCTGTGGCCGGGCCTCTGCCAGGGTCCAGCCACTTCCTGTTGTTCGCGGATCTTTTCAGATAAAGGTGGTGGAGCCACATAGTCACAGTGCTGTGTTCTCGCCCGAACATCATCTGCCCATGTGCGTTTGATTTGGTTTTCTTGCGGGTCAAAGGAAACTTTCTGCTCGTCTAATACATTTTCCAGTTGTTTCTGTGCGTTCTGATTTTGAATTCCCAGAATCATACACATCTGAGCTGACCTCGGCCACAGGGCGCCCCAGCCACAGGTGTACCAGTGCCTCCCCATCCACCAGGTCCACTTCAGCCTGGCCTCTCCCTGCCTGGGGCAGTGTCCCCTCTGCCCACCAGGTCTGAGGCCACCTAGTGGCCTTTAGGGTCTGCAAACACAAGCAAGAGGTTTCCAGGACCGAGGGCCGACTGCATCCTCTGTGCACCTCCGGCGGGTCCTGCCTCAGCAGGCCGGGCTGCGCCAAATAGCCACAGTGCCCCTCAAGGCCCTCGGCACCTTGCCCACCTCTCAGCGGTCCTGGGCTGGGGCTTTGTGCTCTGCGAAGTAGCGCTTGAGGTGGCCAGTTTACTCCTAATGCATGGCACCTGCAGGCCTAGAGGGTGCCCAGGGGTAACAGACCTCCAGGGGACATTGGGCCTTCAGCTGAAGGGTGGTGACGCAAGCTGGCGGACGGCAGTGATGGGAATGCAGTCCCACTTGGCTGGTGTTTCGTGCAGTGAGGACAGTGTGCCGTGTGTGGTGGTGCGTGCCTGTAATCCTAGTACTGGGGGAGGCTGAGGCAGGAGGACTGCAAGTTCAAGCCCAGCCTGAACAACTTAGCAAAACTCTGTCTCAAAATTGAAGAACTAAGGGCTGGCAGTATAGACCACTGAGAGTGAAAGTGCTAGATCCATGGGTGGGGAGATAGCGTGTAGGTCTAAGCGCTTGTCTAGCAAGCATGAGGACCTCGGTTCAGTCCCTGGTACTGTATCCCGTGCTGTGCAGGCCCTGAAACCGGGCATGGTGGCACGCTCCTCTCGTCCCAGTGCTGGGGAGGCTAGACAGGAGAATCACTGTGAGTCTGAGGTGCGCATCAAGACCCTGTACCAAGTAAATAAAAAGAATGTGCACATGCAGGCTCACACACAACCCCAAGTGTGCGCCCTGGAGCCCCTCAGAAAGGCCAGCGCCCCAGCTGGAGGGCTTAGGTGGACTGAGGTCCTTGCAGGTTTTCTGAGATGCCACATCCAGGAGTGTCCACCGCAGGTTGGGCAAGGCAGGCAGCATCCCAAGTGTCCACTCCCATTGGCAGTCTGAGGCACCCAGGGTGACAACAGTAGGCTGGGCATGGTGGTACCCGTCTTTAATCCCAGCACTCTGGGAGGCTGAGGCAGGAGGACTGCAAGTTCCAGTCCAAGTGAGTGACTTAGCAATACCATGATTTAAAATTTATAGAAGTAAAAAGACCTGGGGATATGTCTCAGTGCAGAGGCCCTCAGTTCAGTCCCCAGGACCACAAGGGGAGGGGCACATCCTTCATGAGGTTATAAAATAGTGCACAACCATCTACAAAGAAGCGGCCTGCTAGGCCCAGCAATATGACTTCAGCACAAGGTCCACACCCGGCAAAGCCATGTGCAGAGTGGAAGCAATGTGTGCAAGCATAGGCTGGGGTGCAGCTCAGAGGCACGAGCGCTGGCCTGGCGAGCGCAGGGTCCCGAGTTTCAATTCCCAGTGCCAAAACACACGTGTGTGTGTGTGTGTGTTTACAGTTTACCACAAAAGGAACCTAAGAGGAGATGGTAGGGAAAGACAAGCAAAAAGGCAGGGTGCTGGGCGTGGTGGCATCTGCCTGTCATCCCAGCTCTGCAGGCTGACGCAGGAGGATCACTGAGGCTAGCTGCCCACTGAGGGCCTAACGGCCACACCGGCGACTGTGCTCAGGGCAGCGGCTCCCTGTTGCAGAGCCTGCGCTAAGTGTAGGTCGGTGGCAGGGCGTCACAGGCTGGCGCACACATGGCCCCCTTGTGTGGCCTCAGCTTCCTCCTGCTCTGGCACGGCAGCAGCTGCCTGTGAGCACAGCAGCCCAGCCAGGGCGAAGGGCAGCCGCCTGGCTTATGCGGCCATGTCCCAGAGGCCCGGGCAAAGTCCAGCCCCCAGGCCTCGCCCTTTCAGGGAAGAGACATGGAGTAATCTGGTCAGATCTTAAACCATGAGAGGAGATGAGCAAACGGTAGTACCCGTTTGTGGAAGAAGAGCAGGGTATCTGACCAACCCCAAGCCCTGCGAGGCTGGAAGTAAAAAGCTCCAGAGACGGCACGCACCGGCAGGAGTGACATCACTGAGGTGCCCTGAGGTCTCATTCTTCACAAACATCAGCTACCGCTGAGTCCAGGAGTGTCTGTTACAGTACCTGGAAGAGCCAAGTAAAACAGTAGCGGAGCCAGGGAGACAGCTCAGTAGAATATAGCGCTTGCCTGGCAAGCACAAGGTCCTGAGTTCAATCCCCGGTTCTGCCCCTCCCCCCAAAAAATAGCTACACAGTGTGCGCTTGCCTAAGTGGGGCAGGAGTGGTGGACAAAGCGAGAAAGAAATTCAGCCTGAAGAATGAATAAGTTGGGAGCTAGATGTGGTGGTCTGTCATCCCCAGTGCTGTCATCCCAGCACTCCAGAGAGCAGAGATGGGAGGACTGCAAGCTTGAGCCCAGTTTGGAAAATTCAGTGGCTTTGTAAGACCCATCTCAAAATAAAAAATAAATCTGGCCGTGGTGGTGCATGTCCATAATCCCAGCATTAGGAGGCTGAGGCAGGAGGATTGTTGAGAGTTCGAGACCAGCCTGGGCTACAAAGTGAGCTCAAGGCCAGCCTGAGGTGCATAGTGAGACCCTGTCTCAAAAAGGCAATAGGGGGGCTGGTGAGATGGCTCAGTGGTCTAAAGCACCTACTTGGAACAAGCTTAACAAAGCAGAGGGACAGAGGGACCACGGTTCGATCCCCCAGCACCACATGCCAGCCAGCCCCGCCCCCTGGTGGGCTGAGCTGGCCACACACACACACACACACACACACACATAAAATTTAAAAAATAAAAGGCAATAAGTAAGGGTGGGGAATGGAGCTCAGGAGCACAGGGCCTGCCTGGCAAGCACAAGATCCTGAGTTTGATTCCAGGTACAAAAGGGGAAGGGGCTGGGACTCAATGCAGAGTCCCTGTGTTTAATCCCAGTACTGGTGAGTCAGGAAACACAGAATCAAATGGTAGAAGTGTGTCAGTATTCACAATTGTGCGTATAAACTCAGCAGTTACAGACAAAGCTGCCAGCCGGCCTAGAGCGCTTCAGATGAAGCCGTTTTAAGGGGACACCGCTGAAAGCAGAAGACTTGAGCAGATCTGGAGGCAGGCAGACAATCACAGCCCAGGCGCATCCTACTGTGAACGCACGAGAGGTGTGTTAAGCGGCGCAGGGGCCACGGGAGAGCCACCCTGAGGCAGCTGCGTGGTGGTGGCTGCAGAGCCAGTCTGGTCCCGCCTCTGCTCGGCACAGTAAGTAGCAGCGGTGCTTCAGCGACAATGTGAGATCCGCGCCGTCCACGGCAGATCCAGGCCTGCGTGGGACTTGCGGGCTGAATGTGTCTCAGGTGGCAGGACAGGAAGGGGCTCAGTTCCCTGCGGAGTGAGGGGGTCACCAGGTCCAGCATCAGTTACAACACAGTCTGGGTGGTCAGGTGTTGGGAGCAGGCGTGAGCCCAGCCTGAACGGCTTGGAATTTAGCAAGAACTTGTTTCTAAGTAGAAAACACAAAGAGCCAGGGGAGGGGGACAGACCGATGTCCACAGGAGGCCCACCAGTCTCAGCCACCAATGACTTGTAGCCTTGGTCTTTGGGTGTGGCAAAATGGCAGCTGCAGGCAAGACCGCCGCACTACGCCGAGTGGTGTCCCTGATGCAGCCTCTGGGGGCAGCGTGGTGGCTGCTTTCAAGTCTCAGGTCAGCCTGAGAGGTAGGTGGCTGATGGTAGGTGTGCGCATGCTGGTGACTAGTCAACAGCACAGCTTCAGTGTCGCTGTAAGGAGGGGATGACTTTCGGTCAGGTGACTTTTTTGTTTTTTTTTAATTTTATTTGTGTGTGTGTGTGGCCAGCTCAGCCCACCAGGGGGCGGGGCTGGCTGGCATGTGGTGCTGGGGAATTGAACCGCGGTCTCTGTGCTTTAGCTTAGCTTGTTCTAGGTAGGTGCTTTAGACCACTGAGCCATCTCACCAGCCCTGGTCAGGTGACTTTGGGTAAAGCATTTTCCTTCCCTACCTGGATTGCGGAGGGCTCGGGGAAAACTGAGGTCCCTAGCAGGAAGGAGTCCAGGCTCAGCGCAGCCCCTTCTCTGCAGTATAGACCTGAACCCCAGCTCCCGCAGGCCGGAGAAATGAGCTATTTTCATTCTGGAGTGTGAAATTTCATGTCAGTTCATATATTTTATGCAACAGGGAACTATGATGACACCTCTCTCAGGGTGCCCGGCAAGATCCTGGCACATAGCCTCTTTCCAGAATATTACTTAGTGGTGAAAAGGAAGGGGCGACACCATGTGGGAACCTCCAGGAAACGCTGGGGCCAAACCCAATCTCAAAATACGTGATTACATCCAACTGGTTAATACTCTGTACCATGCATGATCTCATTTTGCTCACAGTCACAAAATACACAAATATAGAGGGGTTGCTGATGGGC